CAGCCGAGAGGGAAAGGATAAAGTGATCATGGGAGTCCTGTGGAAGAGCGAATCCGGGGGAGTGTCTGCGACAATTATAGAGGCAATTTACAGCGTGGCAGAGTCCAAGGGTAGAGTTACTTCTCCAGGTCTATTTCTGATCAAGATCTGGGAATGGATGCTGCGCAGGCTCCCTTGCTCTTCAAAGAAGTCCACATCAAGTGATGCCACACACCATTTTCAGAACCATTCATGCACCTGTCTAGAATGTTCTCAGAGGAAGACAAAGCTGGGGTGAGGGTGTGATGGCAGGAGCAGTCCTTGAGTGTAGCACAAGCTGATTTACATGACGGGCTAGTCATTAAGTCATCTCAATGGCAGAATTTCTATTTTGCTTACAAATATCTAGAAAAACAAAACAAGACCAAACCAGTCTTTCTACCCCTGAAACTTGTTTATAAACTGTATCATGTGAAAATCCAACTTGGAAAGAATTCTAGTTTGACTTTAAACTGTTCACAAGCTCATGGAATAACATGGTTCTTGGATTCATTAACTCTTATTTATAAACTTAAGGTTGTTTTGGAATAGGAAGCATAACATTTACTAAAAAGAACATTGAAATGTATTTGTCTTTTTAATTAAAAAAATACTAAGAAATGAAGCCTGTGAAACACAAAATCTTAATATTGCAGTAGGATTTTCCCTCATTAAAAATATATATCAAACCATTGTCTGATTGAAACTAAACACAGTTAAACATATATAGATATAAATTATATAATTTACATTTATTATACTTAATCCAGGTACACATGCAAACACATTTGTATATATAAATTATGTATGAAATACTCATAGCTAAAATTTATGTGGCTATATTTGAAACTGTGACATCAGAGATAGGCTTAAAACACGTTTAATTACATTACCAGCGTGTATAATCAGAGTTAGAACTACTGATAGATTTTGCTGACAAGAATTATGGAAAGTAGCAGCTAATTCAGGATTGTTCTATTACAGATATTACAGGGGAAGCAAGTCTGGAAAGTGGATTTATACTTATACATTCACTTTTGGTAGGAATTTTATCATTATAAAAGCATATTTCTTAAGCAATCTAGGCAGGTAAATTCTAGAATAAGACAGTAGCCATCATCTTTGATAACTTCCTGAAACCTTTATTTTTTATGCAATTAGGAGACATCCATTATAGGTTGCATAAAAATATAAAAGCATATAATGTGAAATAAATAATATATACCATTTCTTGCCTTCCAAAGGAAGATTATAAAAATATAGTAGCATCCAACTGGTATTGATTGGTAGCCAATGTGGTATTATCCAATTGATTCAGAAAAACGATACAAATTGTTGAAAATACGTTAGTAAGGAAAGCCCTTTCCCCTTAAAATGCTACACGGCTCTGTGGTCATTACTTTCATGACCCTAAAGTATGCATGCTCACATTTCCTTTGAGCAATGCATTTAAAAGATGGAAGGATATTTTTTCAAGCATAGGTGCCCTAAGTGCTCTATTAAAAACTTTATTTATAGCTTGGAAATATTTTTTTCCAGTGAAGATGGGTGGGTTTTAGCAACCACAGCAAAAATTATCTTTGACTAGAAGTCTTAAAGACACCTCCAAACATAATAACCTTGCTGAAATAAGTGTACTTTTTGGGTTGTATGATCATGCTAAGAAAAATGAGGGTTTGAAATTATATTTAGTAAATTAGTATCATTACCACCAAATAATAGAAGTCTCTTGTCGGCAGCTTTGAAAAGTGTTCTGAATAGTGTTGGTATTCTGCATTCCGAGCATTTAAAAAGATACTGATTCATTCATACCCATTTATATATTTAAATTCTTGACTTAATAGGCTATTGACACATCCTTTCTATAATTAGGGTCTGTAAATTCTTAAGAATGTAAGCCAGCATATGAGAAATCCTGGGGCTGATTCTGGTATATGCCTCTGACCACTCTCATTATGGCTCAGTGTCTGGTAAAGTCCTGTGTCAGAAAACTCGGGACAGACAAAGAATAGTCCCTTTAGAGGTTATTAGGTAAATACCATGGCTCAGGAAAACTTCCTTGACTGTGGAACTTCTCTGATCCTGGCACATAAGCTAGCCAGCTAGACTGTGTAGACCAGCATTGGATTTTGGTGTCTGGGTCCCTCTATCTGCTCTTACAAAATTTAGGTTGGATTGGCCTGAGGAGAATTCTGCTTGGATTGTAATCTGGCTGTGGTTTACTCTCAAGGTTAAGCTCTCCAAGAACAAATGACAAACAGTGCCAAAACCCCAAGATAACATCAGAGTCAATGGTGTCTGTGAGAAATGACTGTTTTGAAAGTAGGGGGGGGGGGATATGAGAGCCCAATAGCACATCAAGTCTCTCTGTACAATGTGAGAGACTACATTATTCTCCCCTCTTAAGAACCTTTGGGGTCCATTTGTAAATGATTACTCAAAGGTGGATAATATCATCAAGTAAATTAGCATACTATAAACAGAAAGATCAGGTGGACAGAATGAGGGAGAACAGATGGCCAGAGATTGCTTCCAAACATAATTCCAAAGGCTAATTGTCCAAGGAAATATTCTGGGCTGTCACGGTCTGGATAGCACTCATTCATTCATTCATTCATTCATTCTACTGTATTTATGGAGTGCTCAGTCTGTGCTAGGTCCTCTTGTGGGCTCTTGGGATTCAGCAATGAACATTAACAACAATAAAAATATCTGTTTATCTGTTGGTTCCATAGCTTGGCTATTGTGAATTAAGCTGCTATCAACTTGATGTGGCTATGACATTGTAGTATATTGATTTTAATTCCATCGGGCATAGACCGAGGAGTGGGATAACTGGATCAAATGGTGGTTTTATTCTGAGTTTTCTAAGGTATCTCCATATGGCTTTCCATAATGTGGTAAATGTACACAACAGAATATTACTCAGTCATAAAGAAGAATAGAATCATGGCATCTGCCCATAAATGGATGGAACTGGAGAATATCATTCTAAGTGAAATAAGTCAGTCCCAAAAAATCAAAGGCCAGATTTTCTTTCTGATATGTGGATGCTAACCCATAACAAGGGAGGGTAGGGAGGGGAAGAATAGAAGTTCATTGGATTAGACAAAGGGAAATGAAGGGAAGGGAGGGGGGATAAGAATAGAAAAGATGGTGGAATGAATCTGACTTTCCTTTGCTCATATATGAACACATGACCAGTGTAACTCCACATTATGAACAACCAGAAGAATGAGATTCTAATTGAAGTGGGTTGTACTATATGTCAAAATACACTCTACTGTCATGTATATCTAAAAACAACAAATAAAAAAATTGTAAAAAAAAAACAATAAAAATAGACAAAACTGTCTGCCTCATTGAAGCTTCCACTCTAGAAACCAAGTACACTACAGAAATGTTTAATCATCAGAAAGGCTATTAAAATAATGAAGCACTGTATTTACATATGTATATGTGAGAATAATACTGCTTAATCTATGTGGAGGAAATTACTTAAAAACCATTGGCTTTCTGCTTTCAAAAAGTAATTTACTTAGAAATAAGGGTTACATGTAAAAAACTCTAAAAACAATTGTAAAAGCTACTTCCAATCACTTTACCACCAACCTCTTAAGTAGGTTATGATCTTAATTTTTTAAAAAACCACAACAGGGAAGTTAAAAGTCCTTTAAATGTTGCTAGCAACATTTTATTTCTGAGACTCTCCTGAGCTGGTCAAAATTAAATGGAATTATTTATATTTAAGTAAATAGGATATTAATTACCCGATAATTATTTTAAGTGGAAAACAGAGTGAAGGAAATGAGAAACAAGTTTTTACAATTGGCCCCCCAAATCCATGGGTTCCCATGCGTGGATCTATATTGAACATGTGCAGGCTTGTTTCTCTTGTCATTTCTGAAATGATATATTTTCATATCATTTGCATTGTATTAGGCATTATTAGCACAGTTTAAAGCATCCAGGAGGTTGTATGTAGGTTATATGTAAATACTAACGCCATAAGGGACTTGAGCATCTGTGGGTTTTGGCATCCACAGGGCATCTTGCAACAAAACACCTATAGATATTGAGGGATGATTGCAAATAGCAAAGAAATACTTTTGAACTTTATGCTTCTTGAAAATCTCTTCGTATATTTGCTATTTTATATTAAAGAAATAGAATAGTATGTTAAACTCTTTACCTCTGATATAAACACAACACATAATGTAGAGAAAATAAGAAGTTAAAAAGAGTCTTCAACTCCAATGTGAAAAATGTGTGTGCTTTATCCAATTTGACTATAACAAAGGAGCAGAGTTTGCTCACTCAATCTCCTTTCCCTCCATTAACCTCATCCATTTCTCAGAAAGTTTTCTTGCAGTGCCGTTTCTCTTTCAGGAGTATGTTGCATGGACTTGGTGGGTGTAGGTTATATCACTAGAGATAGCAGAACATGTCATCTTGTTTTCCATGTGTAGATTTACAGACCAACCTTCTTTTTTCTCACTAAGTTTTAGGTCACTGTGTAAAATGATAAATAAATGAATGAGGAATACTATGGATAGAGACTTGCTCAATATCCTTGTAAATAAATGTCCTTCCGCTCAGGTGCCTTCTATCCAAGCTTCACTCACTCAACAGCAATTGAGCCTCTCACAAGGATATATAGGATGGAGTGCTGTCACCAAGGTTAGGGGGCTCTGCAGAGAGGCTCCCATTTCAGTCATGTGGAGATGGCGAGCAGGAGTTTTGCAAGGGGACTGGGGACGTTCCAGACAGAGGGAGCAAAGTATGCAGACAGAAATAGGCAGGGGTGAGTCTGAGAGGAATAGTGGACACTTCTGGTGCTTTTCATTTACTTGTAGGGGTCCAAATTTCCATCTGCTACCTATCTGGTATCATTTTTCCCTCTGCCTAAAGTGCTTACGTACATGAAATGCAGGGAGGCCTTATTGTCTGAGAAAGTATTTCACTTTCATTTTTAAAATATACTTTGGGGGTATTGACAGTTGTTCTTTTTTGTTTTCAGTACTTTACATATGTTGCTGGATTGCTTTCTGGCTTGAATAGATTTGGGTGGCAATCTGCTGTAATTCTTATTTTTGTTCCTATATATGTAAGGTATGTTTTTAATTTGGCTGTTTTTAAGATTTTCTTCTTACCCTTGATTTTCTGTAATTTGTTGTGATGAGTTTTGGTGTGGTTTTTCTTCACTTTCATTCTGCTTGGGGTTTGCTGAGCTTCTTGGATCTGTGAATTTATAGTTTTCAGCAAATTTGGGAACATATTTGGCTATTAATTCTTCAAATATTTTCATCTTCTTTGCCTTTATTTCAACCTCAAGTATGTTGGACCCTTTGAAATTTCCCCACAGGTCAGTGATTCTTTGTTCATTTCTTTCAGTTTTATTTTCTCTTTGTTTTACTTTGGATAGTTTCTTTTCCTATGTCTTCAGTTTACTGTTCATTTTACCCAATCTAATGTAGTTTTAAAATGTTCAGATATTTTAGTTTTCATTTCTAGAAGTTTCTTTGATTCTTTTTCTATCTTCTGTTTCTCTCCTCATATTTTCTTTCACCTTCTCAAACATGTAAAACATATTTATGACACCTGTTTTCACATTCTTGCCTCTTAATTGTATCATCTCTGTAATTTCTTGTTCTGTTTCTGTGGATTGATTTTTCTCCTGGATATGGATCATATTTTCCTGCTTCTTTGCATCCCTGATAACTTTTTGTTGGATGATAGATATTGTGAATTTAATATGGCTGTATTCTGGGTTTTGTTTTATTTCTCTAAACTCGTTGGGCTTTGTTTGGCATGCGGTGGGGTTACTTGGAATGGCTCTGATCTTTGCAAGGGTTATGTTTAATATCTGCCTTTAGCTTGGGTTAATCAATCCTTGCTGAAGCAGCACCCCTCTGAGGACTATGCATTATGTCCCATGCATAATGCAGTTTTTTTATTCTGGTTGGTGGAAGTATAAACAATTCCAAGCTCTTTGTGAACTTCAGGAATCATTCAAACCTACTTTGCAGTCTTTCTCTCATGGACCTCGGGTTGTTTCCTTGCATGCATGCGTAGCTAAGAGGTCTCCTTTACAGACTTCTGGAGAGTGCTCTCTTTCTCTCTGTGCTCTACAGGCCTTGACCTCCACAAACTTCAATCTTTTCTCTACCCTTTCGTGAGAATACTGGGCTTCATTTAGGTTCTCCTTTCTGTACAACAGCGTGGAAACTGTCTCCAGGCAATAACCCTCAGCAATTGCAGGGCTCACTTTGTTTTCCATCAAGCCTTGCCTATTATTCAATGTCTGAAAACAATTGTTTCATATGCTTCTTTTTCTCATTTTCTAGTTTTTCTCAAGCAGGAGGATAAATGCAGTCTCAGATGTTCCCAGTATTGGGAACACTGTGTTTCTTAAAATATTTTTTATTATGGAAAATTTAAATCATAAGATAAGTAGAGAGAATGATAATTGATCCCAATCTATTCCATCATCTCAGCTCCATAATGATCAACTTATGTCCAAGATGCTTTAATCTAAATACCTCCTGCTTCTCACAGGGAGATTATTTGAATTTATTTGAAACAAATCTCATAGATTGTATAATCTCATTTATAAATATTTCTGTATGCATTTATAAAAGATAAGGCTTCCACCTTTACTTATAAACCCCATTCTTCTCAAACTTACTCCTTGTTATGGTTTGGATGTGAGGTGTCCCCCCAAAAAAATTTCGTGTGAGACATTGCAAGAATGTTCAGAGGAGAAACAATTGGTTTGTAAGAGTCTTGACCCATTGGGTGAACTAATCCCCTGATAGGGATTAACTGAGTGGTAACTGAAGTGGTAGATTGTGGCTGGAGGAGGTAGGAATTAGGACATGGCTTTGGTGTATATATATGTATCTGGAGAGTGGAGTCTCAGTTTTCTGATCACGATGATGTGAGCTGCTTCCCTCTGCCACCCTCTCCTGCCATGATGTTCAACCTTACCTCAGCCCTGAGGGAAGGAGCCGGCCTTGTATGGACTAAGACCTCTGAAACCTTGAGCCCTCCAACAAACTGTTCCTCCTCTATAATTGTTCTGATCAGATCCTTTAGTCACAGCAGTAAAAAAGCTGATTAAACCACTCCTCAATGGCAGGTAAACACCCACTAACTCCTTATCTTTAATAGTTGTGATGCCCAATCTTCCTTCTGTCCTTCCCAACCTTCATCAAGAACCCCCTCCCCCTCTACTCTCCTTTGAACCCCAGTTTCATGTGCACACCTGGCAGATAAGCACAGTTGCTCCTCAAGTTACCTTGGGGTGACATCCTGACAAACTCATCATAAATCATAATTATCATGGAAGTAAAAAACGCACTGAGTACGCTTTGCCTACCAAACCATGTGGCTTTGCAACAGCACACTGTAGGTTCCTGCTTGTTTGCTCCCATGATCATGTGGCCAACTGGGAGCTGCTGCTGCCCAACATTGAGGGAGAGTATCATCCTGCGGTCTGCCAGCTTGGGAAAAGAGTAAAATCAAACTTTGAACCATGGCTTCCACGAAATGCACATTGTCTTCACATCATAAAGTGAAAACTTTTTAAGTCAAACTATGTGAATTGGGACTGTATCTTGAAAGATAAAGAAAGCACCTTAAGGTCCCATTTAGTTCTGACCTGATTTGACCTGGAGAGAAAGTCATAGGCAGTTGTGGAAACAATTGCAATAATTGCTCAGTCTCTGCCAGGAGCTCCCAACACATCTAGCATTGCCTCTCGGGGGTGCTTTACCACTGCTCTGATTAGCCTGTCATCATGTGATTTAATTTATTTTAAAAGTTGAAACTATGCAAAAGAAGTCATGAGATATTTATGTTTATCAAAATCACTTGTGGGTTCATAACATTTGGGTAACACTGATTGACTAGCATATAGCAGGACCAGCTTCCATGTAATTAGCAAATGGGCCTTCTAAGTGTGATTTCAGAGAACAGTAAGACTCATGCCCTCTCCTGCCCACTCCCATCCCTCACCTCTTCTTGAAGGCTTGATATGATCTGTATTGAGAAAAAGGCCACAGAGAGAAGTGATTTTAAAACAGTTTTATTGACATTTAATTCACATACCACACAGTTCACTCACTCAAAGAGAACGATTCGGTGTTTTTTGGTATATCCATGGATACACGCAGTCCTCACAACAGTACATTTTGGAACATTTTCATCATCTGAAAGAAACCCTATTCCCATCAGAAGTCACCCCATATTTCCCTTCTGTCCTACCGTCCCGGGGCAAACTGACTGATTTTTGTCTCTATGGATTTGTCTATTCTGGATATTTCATATAAATGGAATAACATAACATGTGTTCTTTGGTGTCTGAAAACAGGAGTGATCTAAAGTGGTTTAAATTCCTATTAAAGAGGCAAAGACTACTTCTATCCCTTTAAATAGGTTTGTGATGGGGGAGGAAAGACCCTTTGGTCTCTAGAGGAGCAGAGGCAAAGCAGAGTAGCAAGAAGCAGCCGGCCTGCCTTCAGCTTGGCTGGGGCAGGCCCCGGCTGTCAACACTAAATATCAAAGCTTCAAGATGATAATTCAGATGTTGGCATCAAAAGAGAAGGACTTGCCCAAGTGGCCTCATGTATAGATGCAGGTAGGCTCCGGTTACTGTCTGTCACATTCATAAATAGTGGAAATGAGACTTATAATTAGACCGCACTTAACTGACAGCTCACCTTGATTTCTCACTGAGCTGATCACAGGACCAAAGTGCCTCTTTCCTCTGCCGCGGCTTGTAGCTCGGAGCGCAGGAACAATGTTGCGCAGGCTATTTGCCCAATCAGGCCAGGTAACGGGGCACCAGGCTGTCATTTTCATTATGAGGAAATAGGTCTTTTGGTGTAATTTTCCTCCAGTAATTAGTCTCTCTGTGATTTTTAGACTTCATGTCATGTTGTGAATGCAACATGTTCGACAGCATTCCTGCCGAGGAAATATCTTCTATGATGGGTAAGCAAATACTATCTTTCATTAAAAACATCAGAAAAATTTCATCTGAAACTTCTGAACAGCCAGGGGGAGGAAAACTCCTAACAACAACAAAAAGCCCACTTGTGCCAAAATCCATGTGAGAGTGTCTTCCAGGGCAGTTTGAGAAGCGTCCATTGGCTGGATGTCTGCTCGCATGTTAGCAATGACGTCTTCTGAGACAATTGCTTTCTGTCTACCAAATGGTGTTGTTTAACTAAGAAAGGTAAGTGGGTGGCCTAAGTGATATGTATCAAATTAAGACACTTGCCTAAGCCAGAAGTCTTGTAAATCAGATTTTGACTCTACTAGTCCATAGTTCTTTTTAGTTTTCTCTGTAGGTGCATGCCTATGAATCAACTTCCTCAATCCTTCATAGAAAGAAGCAGTGAAAAATAATTATTATCAGATAATAAGTTTATCCTGCTGAATACATGATATCTGGGAGAAAAATGGGCACTGAAATTCTTAGGTCAAGACAGCCATGCAATCTTTTTGGATTAAGACTGAGCTATGATGGTACTATGGAGAGACTAGAATTCTCAGACCTTACTGGTGGGAATATAAAATAATTTGACTGCTTTGGAACACATTTTGAGGTGTCTAATCATCAAACATTTACCTGGCAGTTCCACTTTGAGATATATTAATAAAAGAAATGAGTGCATACTAACACACATACAAGAATGTTCTTGGTAGTTTTGATCATTCCACTGACTTTCCTATTCCCATTCCTTGCATTTCCCTTCATTCTCCTTTGTCTAATCCACTGAACTTCTCCCCCTTTCACCCTGATTGTGGTTTAGCTTCTACCTTTCAGAAAAAAACACTGGGCCTTTGGTTTTTTGGGGATTGACTTACTTCGCTTAGCATGATAGTCTCCAGAGCCATCCGTTTACCAGCAAATGAGTAATAGTACATATGTCACATTTTCTTTATCTGTTCATTTGTTGAAGGGCACTAGTTTGGTTCCATAGTTTAGCTATTGTGAATTGTGCTGCTATAAATATTGATGACCACCTCTTTTTTTTTTTTAAACATTTCAAGAAGCAATATTGAAAGACGTGTTCCACATAACTATGGTACTTCTAGGTCAGGGACTTCTGGGTGATATTGTATATGTGGGTGGAGATATGAGAGAGAGAGAGAGAGAGAGAGAGAGAGAGAGAGAGAGAGAGAGAGAGAGAAGTGGGTGTCGTCTGTGTAGCCATGGTGGAAGAAAGCAGAAGAGTCTAGAGAGTGAGGACCTGAGGGCCCAGAATAGCACGTTGGAGATGAGCCAGATACCTGTGTAGGGGAGGGAGGGCACTAGGATGAGTCAGGAAGACCCAGGGGAATAACCTGACTTCCCATGCAGGAATCTTCATCTCTAATGCACGCTTCCCAGGTCTCTGTCCCAGGTTTTTGCTCCTCTCTGTGTTTTTTCTCTGTAGAGACCTTCTCTGTTTTAGTGAGGTCAGTTTTCTGCTAACACCTTCCACATCCACCCCTGCCTTGACTTTACCTCCACACTCCACCTCCTCATTCTCCCTCCCTCAGCCTGTACATGGACAGGTCCCATAAAACAAGTCTGGAAGGCGCTGGAGGGTGTGGGGCCAGATAGGCTCAAGGATGTAATAAGGTGTTTTCAGGCAAAAAGGGAACATTCTAATAGAAAGCTAAAGATTGTAGATACAATGAAAGAAGATCCTAGAAGAACTTAGAGAGGCTTTGCTTTAGGAAGGGGGAGGAGAAGAGGAAGGGTAAATATGGAGACTTTTGGAAATAGAGATGCACCTGACTGCTTCCAGTCTCTTCTCTCTGAGCTGTGCCTAGGACATCACTAGCACATGGTTAGTTTTTGCTATTTCTCTAGCACTGTGCTATGTGCTTACGGATGCCACCTCATTTATTTTTTAATGACAACCCTGTAAGAAAGATGCTGTTATTAACTTTACTTTTTAGATGAGGAAGCTGAAGCTTAGAATATTAAGTCATTTTTCTGAGGTTGAATCCCATGTGTGAGTCCAGTCTGCATGTGGTTACTAAATTCGTACTCATAGCCAGTAGGCTGCAGTGCCTCTTTCTGGATATGTGCCCACCTTTGGTACTTCCCGAGGCCCTCCTTAGCGCCACTGTCTGCCCACCCTGGACCTGTCTGCATGATCTCAGGGTGCTTTCCTTCTTGCTGTGTTTTGCAGCTGGGGAGATCATACACATGGCCAAGCAGGCAGGGATGGGAAAGTACCCCTGTTTGATCTGTCCTGGCCCTGAATTCATGAATGAAGAGCTAAGGAGCAACTTAATTGGCAGTGCAGAGCCACTGATGACTTTTGATGAGAGCTGAGCTTTAGGGAGAAGAAACTGACAGCCACCAAGGGATGGACTGGAGCTGGCAGAGAGTGCAGGCAAGAGACAGGTCTCCTGCAGTCCAGGTGAGGTAACAGGTCTGTTAGGATGAGGGGAGGGAGGGCCGAAAAGAGAGGATGGGAGCTATCAGAGAAATTGCTCTTCCCAGAGGCCCTGCTGGGGAATATATTTATCCAGCTTCCAAGAGAGCAAGTGGAAAAGAATATCTTGTTCATTTAGCACTTAATCAAATCTATATTTCCCAGCTGAGCTTTCAAACGCCCTTTGTAAACTGATGCCAACCCGTTTCCTTCTCACTCCTTCCCAACTTTCATCCTCCACAATGGGCAGGCTGTTTTTACTGTTCCACAAACATATTGTGATTAATATTGTATCTCAGGTTCTATCCCTACCTCTTAGGATGGCCCCTGTTTCCCCATCTATTCAGCAGGCATTGTGTTGATTATAGCTACTCTTCTTTTATTTATGTATTTGTGTATTTATTTTGGTACGGGGAGCATAACCACTGACCACATCCCCAGCCCTTTTAAAAAATATTTTCTCACTAAGTTACTTAGGACCTTGCTAAGTTGCTGAGGATGACTCTGAACTCATAATCCTCCCGTCTCAGCCTCCTGAGCTTCTGGGATTACAGGCGTGTGCCACCATGCCCGGCTACAGCTACTCTTCATTCTTCTTTCCTCTGAATTCCCCACGCCTTTGAAGGCAAGTGTGCATGGGTTAGCTGGTTGTGTGTCTTCTAGAGCTCATTGGAGAATGACTGGTGACCAGCATCTATTATGCTCCCTTCAAGTCCTCCACAAAGCCCAGCCTTGCCTGGAGCACATAGTGAGTTTCAGATGCGCTGGGTGTTGAAGATTCACAGGTGGAGAACATAGCTTCCATGTGGAGTTTTAACATGCTGAACTTAGTTCTGTCTTAAAACTCAATTTCCAATCAAATGCCTCTTGACTGGAGAGAGGCGTTTCAGAAATCGGGCAGAGGTGACTGGAGACAAGATGGCGAGGGAAGGACAGGTTTGAAGGGAGAATTGTGGTGAGCTTGTGTGCTCTGCCGTACTCCACTCTTCCTTGCTCCTGAAAACTCTGGAACATGTCTGACCTGGATGCCTAAATGTCCTCTTCTTTATTTGGGGGGCAAGAATTAACCCACAGTCAGCTTGGAAGAGAAACAGCAGTAAACACTCAGACTAAAGCAGAGGAACAGAATTTACGTGCATACTTATGACCAAGTCATTGGTAGTAATTAAGGAAAGTTGCCATCTTTGAAGGAAATGAAGAGTCCATTTGGGAGCTTTGTGACTGGCACAAGCCCATGCTGCATTAGCAGCTCCACTCAGGTGTGACTTCCATGGCACCTGTTCCCCCATGAGCCACACTATGGGTGCTAGCTCAGTGCTTCTTGGCTGACAACACATGTTGTTTATATAGCACACCCCTCCCCCCCCAGTGGATGCTATTACTGTTATTGTCCCTCGTCTCATATGAGATAACCAGGACACACCTCTGTAAATTATTAGTAATCCCAAGATCACCACAGCCGGGAGGTAGAAGAGAAGGATTTCAACCCGGGCATTCCAGCTTTTCCGTATCTGCTTTAACTGCCATTCTCCGCCATTTTAACCATTCCTGTGTGGAGTCTGTTTTAGCTGCCTAGGGATAGAAGAGTACTGAAGTCACTAGGTTCCTGGGTGGGGGGCTGGAGTGGTAGGTAAAGGGGATAGAGGAGAGGAAAAAGATGGGGAGGAGATGACAAAAAGCAGAGAGTTGGAGACCAGGACATTTGCCTTTATTTCACCATCTACCCAGGACTTGGCTGGGTATTAGAATTGCCCTTTACCACTTTTAATTGAGGATTCCTCAAAGCCAATCCCAGGTATTCGAAAGTAGCAATTAGATGTTATTGTCCTTGGTCGTTCATCATCTGTGCTCTCTGACAGGAAGGAGCAGATGCTGTGTGAAGATCATGCTGTCAGGGACCTTGTGGAGCAATTTGGGCTTGATGGATGTCACTCCCTCACTGCTTCTCCAGTCAGACAACCCAGGACACGGCAGGGACAAGGAGGTCTCTCATCAGTTGTCTCTTCAATCTAGATGTCTTGAGCCTTCTGGGAGTTTAGCTGCCTAGGTGAGAATTCTCTTACAGGTGCTCAGTTTGGGATGATTGGTCTTTTAATGGTCACAATACCTTTATTTTATTTGTTTATTTTTTGTGGTGCTGAGGATTGAACCCAGTGTCTCACATGTGCTAGGCAAGCGCTTTACCACTGAGCCACAACCACGGCCCCTGGAATGATTTTTGGAGTAGATTTCTTCCTTCCTTCCTTCCTTCCTTCCTCCCTCCCTCCCTCCCTCCCTTCCTTCCCTCCTTCCCTCCTTCCCTCCTTCCCTCCTTCCTCCCTCCCTCCCCCCTCCCTCCCTTTCTTTCTTTCTTTCCAAATTAACTCCACAGTTCTGGAAGCAGAGCAACAGTATCTCTTTGTGTGATGAAACTTTTTGCAGGCTAGAATTTTGTTTTTCTTTGAGATGAAGAGCCATTCATTTGAAGGAAATACTTTGCAACTACGTCTTTTCTCTGAAAGGTGGCTCAGAGGGAATCATTAAATAAAATAAATTAAATAAATAGCCAAGATAGCCTTCCGGGCAGGGCATGGAGCCTGGAGGGACTTTCAAAGCTTCTCTGAAATTCAAACCTTTGGGGGTGGTGGAAAAAAAAATGGATTCCTTTTCTATGTAATGGAAAGATCATTCAGTGTTCTCTGTGTCTCCATTCTCTACCCAAATAAGCTGACAAAATATTTCATATTCTTCCTGTTGGGACTCTGATCCTTTGGGCTAAGATATCACAACTTGAAGAGTCCCTTCTTACACAGTGAGAATTGGGACCGGGGAGGGAGTGTGTGTGTGTGTGTATGTGTGTGTGTGTATGTGTGTGTGTGTGTGTTTGTGTGTGTAACACATAGCTATTGTTATATTATTACCATTGGTTCGTAGTCCTAAAAAGAAATCATAAAAATTAAGTTATGTCCAATTATCTGACTTCCTGCTTCATATCTATAACTGATTTGTGATATAACGAGGGTTTATTCTAGGACTCCCTATCTGGAGGGAGGTGGGAGTTGAGGACAGCCCCTAGGAGAGAAGAGAGTAGCTGCCTGGGTACGCCCACCTGAGAAGCCAGGCTGTTTTTGCCTTGGCGTCCCCACTGTGGCTTGGAACACAGAAGAAGCAGAACAGAGAGGGAAACGAGAATATAAAAGCTCCTCACGCCTAATCTAAATTCCCTGGGGAAGATTTTGTTTGTTAATGCTATATAAAACCTCAGTCTGGGCGTGTGTAGGGGTAACTGTGGAGGCATAATAACTTACCTGGCTTATTAAGGGTGTGATTAACTGCCTTGGTTGTTTGCCTGCTAGAAATGTTTTAAATGAACACAAATGAATTTGTGTTTCACTTAAGACTGAGGGGAAACTGGAACACGTTGTTTATGAGGCTCCAATGCTAACTCTGAGCTGGCAACTTCTCAGCCCTGCGGGTGGTCCCCTTCTTTCACAATGTGCTGGATCCTCCTCCCCACTCCCTCTCTTCCCAGGTAGATCTCACCTGCAGAACCAGACCAAGGGCCAGCCATACTCACTCAGGAGCAATTTGAGTTCATGAAGTTGTGGCTTGGCTCACTTTTCGGCTCCTGAGTTGGTTTCTTAAGACTAACTTTTGGGAGGTGTGTTCCCGTCCTGGTGGCCAGATCTCTGTGCTGTCCTCTGAGGTTAGATGCCTCCCCTGACAACCTTCCCAACTTCCTTGACTTACCTGGGCCTCCCTTTTCCAATTTCTCTAGTCCAACATTCCACCCCTGCCCCTTCCATCTTCATGGGACAGAATTTCTGTCTCCAAAACCCATACAGAAAACGAGAGCTGCTCTACTACTTACAGACTTCCTCAGCGTCCGCAGAGTGGTTCTGCTCCTTGGCTCCTCACTGCTGGGGCTTGCCCATCCTCTCGGCGCCTTCCATGGCTGCATTTGTTATACACAGCTGCTGTCCTTCGTACCTTCCTGTGTTGCCTCTAGCTTACTAAATCAGCTTTTCTCACATCCAGCATTTATTTGTGTTTGGGACTCACAATAAGCAGTCATCGGAATCACCTGGAAGGTTTATTAAAACATAGGTGTCTGGAGACCATTGTCAGAATTACCAATTCAGGAGCTCTGGGGTGGGGCCTTTGAATGTGTATTTCTGGTAAGCTCCCAAGGGATGCTGATGCTGCTGGTTTGGGGACCACACTTGGAGAACACTTTGTTAAGGCACTTACTTGTCTACATATGCTGCTTGATGGGAGTGTCTACCAACAGCTGGAGCTGAACCCCTCTAGCCCCATCTCCCTGCAGGAGATAGGACTAGGTGAAGGGTGATGTGCCTTTCTCTCTGGACTTTTTGCACCTACTGTGTAATGAGGTCTATCAGGCTCCAAATGTCCTGATTATTTGTGACAACAACCTGGATTTCAGGTTAAAAACAAGAAATACAATAGATTTCAGGAACTGATGTGTTAACGAGGGATAGCCAAAGGAAAGTTTATATTTGTTTTAAAATTAAAAGACAGGCATCTTGATTCAGATGTTGCTAGATTTTATTTCCCTGAGTTGCAGGAAGAAAGGAAGAAAGATGTGTTGGTTTGAGGACATGGCCTCAACCTCAAAACCAGGCTGCTGGAGGAAAATATGGAAACGAGATTTCCGTTGCTCCTACCTGAGGCTGCCCTTAGTCCAGCGCAGGGTCTTGTGTGTGAATAGCTGTGTTTTGGGTTTCCAGCCGCTCCGCATGCTCTTGGTTTTCTGCTTCTCTGGCTGGGAAGTGCAGTTTGGGTCCCAGCTCTGGTGAAAGTCTCTATGAGGGCCTGTCTTCACTTCCTATCCTGCCTGAGCCAGGGTAGTTGGTGAATGAATCATACTTGGTTCCAGCTCTACTGAAAAAACTTGTTTATCAGGATACAGAGGAAATTTTTTAAATTATTATTTTAAATTGTGTTAAAATGCATAGAACATAAAATTCATCATCTTCACCATCGTTTTAAAATGATATGTTTCAGTTTGGTGGTATTAAGTACATTCACATTGTTGTGTGACCAGCCCCCACTGTCCATCTCTAGAAATTTTTCATCATCCCAAACTGAAACTCTGTACCATTACACAGGGTTCTATTGCCCCCTCCTCCTAGCCCCTGGAAACCTCTGTTATATGAATTTTACTACAGTGCTTGTCCTTTTGTGACTGCCTTATTTCACTTAGCATAATGTCCTCAAGTTTCATCCATGCCACAGCAAGGTCAGAATTTTCTTCCTTTTTAAGGTTAAATAATTTTCCATTATGTACATATATACCACATTTGGCTCATATATTCATCCTTCAAGAAAGATGTCATTTTCACCTCTTGGCTATTGTGAATAATGGTGCTATGAACTTGGATGCATAAATATCTGTTTGAATTTCTGCTTTCAATTCTTTGGGGGTATATACCCAGAAGTAGAATTTTTAAAGCATGTGGTAATGCTACGTTTAGTATTTTGAAGAAACTCCTTGCTGTTCTCAACAATGGGTATACCATTTTGTATTTCCACTGACAGTGCCTGGGGGTCCCAACAGAGGCATTTCTTTTTGAAGCGGCTTTGAACTTATCTGACTTCACTGGGTTTCTGGCGTAGTCCTTTGTTTGGGGGAAGGTTGAAGAGCTGAGCCGGGTGGAGCCTGGCATTAGATGATACACTTAAAGGGTAGCAGAAGAAAGTGTCAGAGGAGGATGATTCAACACAGGTGAGAACAGGGCTAAGGAACCCGAAAAAGAGGCCAGGGACCAGCAGTGGTGAGCACGCTGCTCAACATGGCCCTTTGGGTTACCAGAACTCTGCCTCCGATGTTGGAATGAGGGACATCTGTCTTGCCTCAACTGTAGCGATGGTTCCGCTGTTTAGGCAGAAACTCCTTGAGGACAGGCCCTGTGGTTGATTCATTTATATTTTCTCCACTTTTCCCATCTGCATTTGCATTTCTCCAGGTCCCTGCCTAACATGATACAGGTCTCGTGCCATTTGGAAATAAGCGACGCTCCCAGTGTAGGGACTGTGATGAATCTGTGTTTGCCTCCTATACTAGGCTCTTCAGGTTTGAGCCTCTGGAGTGGGAACATCACTACTTTTACTTTTCAAATATAACATTTCTCAGATGTTAATATGTTGAGTGGTATAAATCCTGAAACAATTAATTCCCAAAGTCCCTCTGCCCAGATAATTCTCTCTGCCTAGAAAATTCTTGATGATGTTAGGGAAAAAAAGTAACTAAGGCACATAGCTAGAAAATTCAAATAGTAGGAAAAGGTCCCTCTCCTCAAAGGTAAACATTTAAAATAATGTCTTGTATATCCTTGCAGAAAAATATGCAAATATGTCTCCCTTGCAGAAAAATATGCAAATTTCTTTCCCTCTCTCTGTGTATGTGTGTACATCACACAGATGTATATGTTTTTTTTACACTAGAAGATGAAACTATACACAGTTTTCCAGATCCCTCTTCTTTTTCTCCTTCAATTAATGGTGTACCTGAGAGACTTAATACAGAATAACCACTTTATTCTTTTAAAGGTTCCACTGTGTCTATTCACTAGATATGTCATAATTTAAGTATCATTAGCATTTTAGGTGGAATTTTAGGAATACTTTTGAATGAGGAAGGAAAGGTTTATAGCATGATGGAAAAACCCAGGTTATGTGTGAAGAATGAGAAAAAAAAATGGGAAGAAGTAGAAATACCTAAAAAATTTGGAACAAAAGAAGTAGCATGTCTGGGAGACCCTTTGCTCTGACTTCTGATGGCAGAGATGTTGGATTCTGTGAAATATGAATACAAAGCAACAGTAGGGACTTGAACTTGGTTCAGAATGACCAGAGGGAGAGAATCTTGGCAGCAGCTTCTAATATTTACTAGACTTGAGAAGCACAGAGGGAGGATAGGCCATCTGGACAACAGTTACATTTGTCAAGTCAAGAAGTGACCAAAACACATGGTAGCATCTTATCAGTGGGAATAGAGAAGGAGGCTCTATAAATCTAGAGTGAGTGGAAGAGCAGGGCCAGAGT